CTCACTCCAAAATATAGGCAGTCATGAACTTAACAACGAATTCAACTTCAAATGTAGGCATTATTTATAACTCATAATTCATTGTCCCATAAAAACAGTATATTAAATGACATGAGGTTCCAAGTTAGTTTACAAAAGTCAATTTAGCCCATAATATAGTTGAAACTACAATACATGTAAAGATTTTGATTTTAGGAGAAAAAAAAGTTCTTCCACTGTTTTCCTTACCTACACAGGGTTAAACCTAAGGGAAATCCTTTTTTTTTTCTACCCCGATAAGTCCAGTTTATATTTACCACCAGCAAAGACTTCTAGGCAGGGGAATGATATGAATAGAAAGAACTGTTCGGGGAGTTAGGAGTTAAAGTGTTGAATAAGAGTTTGACAAGAGTTGGAATAATAAATACCAGGCAAGAGCAACTGAAGGGAAAAGTATACAAAAACTGACAGAACTGCAAACTAAATGATTATTTTGGGATATTAGGAAGAGCTTGTTTTAAAAAAAGAAGAAAAATCACTGGGCCACAAGAAGAATGAGGATGCCCTTGAGAGAGAGGCAAATATGAACAAAGGGATGGTCAGCAGATCAGAAATAAGAAAACTACCATTCTCACCCGCACTTCACTCTGCTTCACCATGGCTATATCCACACCATTCATCTCTTGAGCCAAATATACTCCTGCATAGCCTGGGATGCACCTGCCTCGGACACCCACAAGGTTTACTCCCTAACTTCACTCAGGTATCTGTATAAATGTGAACTCACCCAAGAGATAATTCCCTGACCAGCTCTTTGTCTTAGCATATCTCCTGCCTGACATACAACCACATCCCTGTCACCCTCTGTCCCTTTACCCTACTCTACTATTTTTCATGAACTGACTACTACCTGACATTATTTATTTATTGTTTACTGTCTTTCTCCTATGTAAACTGAGACTCTGTTTTTTAATGGCCTAAAAAACTATCTGATAGAGATGAGGCAATCAGTAAATATTTATTAAACAAATAAAGGCTAAATCTAGACTACAGAATAGAGATAAAAAGGAGTGAGTCATCTTCAGAGTGGCACTAATTAGAAACTTAAGAACATATGCTTTATCCACCTAAAATTTTTTCTAGTAAGTGAAAGGACAAATAGCATAATAAAGTATCATGTTAGAAGAACAGTACTTAAAAGCAAGAAGACATACACAATGTATGTGTTTCCCACCCCACTCTCCTATTCTCCTCTGCTCCCAGTCAGCTCTTAAGATGTTCCTACTTTTCCAATCTTCTCACTGCTGAACTCAGATTCTTTCAGTGAGGTTCAAAAGAACTTTCTGTGATGATGGAAATACAGTATTAATCTACACTGTCCAATATGGTAGCCACTAGGCACATGAGACTCCTACTGAGCATTAAAAATGTGTCTAGTGCAACAGAGGAACTAAATTTTAGCATTAGTTTTAAGTTCTATTTAAATCTAAGTTGCCACATGTGACTATAGGCAACTGTACTGAACACCTGAACTCTAAACGATCTTGTTCTGTTTTTATTAATAGCTGCTGAAATTATAAGCGCAGCATTGGTAAGGAAAGTGAATAGTAAAGGATCCATTCCTGAGTTTTGTCATAAACTTGAAAATGCTCGAAAAGGATTTTTATATTGTTCTAGATGTCTAGAACAATCGCTTGAGAACTTCCTCACACTCTGATAGCTCCAATATACCAGACTCCTGTAGCACTTACCCAGTTTTCTCAATAGAGGCCTGTGTTTGAATATATATTTGTAATTATTTCCTATCTTTCCTTCTCACATGTTTTACCACTCCTTCCAAGAAGTAAAAATAGACAAAAGACGTCATTTCTTCTCAGGACTAACAGCATAGTAATTTAAAAAATCTGTTGAGGGGTGCCTGGGTGGCTCAGTTGTTAAGCGTCTGCCTTCGGCTCAGGTCATGATCCCAGGGTCCTGGGATCGAGCCCCGCATCGGGCTCCCTGCTCGGCGGGAAGCCTGCTTCTCCCTCTCCCACTCCCCCTGCTTGTGTTCCCTCTCTCGCTATGTCTCTCTCTGTCAAATAAATAAATAAAATCTTTAAAAAATAAAAAAATAAAAAAATAAATCTGTTGAATGCATGACATCTCCTTACTTTCTCACTTTTACACCATGTAACACTACTGTGACGCTGACAAATTTAAATGCCAAATCTATTTCCTAAAGGCAACTGTACTTCTTAGAACTTTATGAAGTATGGTACAAATTTGTTAAATGGAAAAGAATGTTACCTCATCAGATTTTTTTCGCCTTTTGATACTGTTATAATACAATCACCACATTTTATTTTTACAAGGATTTTCTCATTAATCTGCAAACAACTTTATGGACACACTATCCAACTTATTGAATTACTAATTATAAATTAGCACCTTGGTGAGAAGGATAGCACATTTTATTGATAAAGAAACCACAACAGCACACAATTTGCCCAATATGATAATCAGTTATAATGAAACCAGAAACTCCATTTCTCTACCATTTCTTTAAAGTGAAATATAAAATTACTTAATGAGGGGCACCTGGGTGGCTCAGTTGGTTGAGTGACCGACTCTTGGTTTCAGCTCAGGTCATGATCGTGTGATCTCGTGAGATCGAGCCCCATATGAGGCTCCATGCTCAATGTGGAGTCCGCTTGGGACTGTCTCTCCCTCTGCCTCTGCCCCTCCCCCCTGCATGTGCACGGGCACGCAATCTCGCTCTCAAATAAATAAATCTTATAAAAAAAATTACTTAATGAATATTTTCCAAGAGCTACATACACAAACACACACACACACAACTTTTAATTATCATTCAATGGGACACACGCCTTCTGAAATCAGGTTTGCCTTCTCCCTAAGAGCATCTATTCAATCTCTTTTGTCCACAACATTTTCATTATTCCTTGTCAAAAGTCTTGAACAGGTGTTAACATCTGGCTTAAACAATACTTGCTGATTTTACAGAGCAAATAACATCTTCTTTTATTTAGGAAAGTCTTATAAATCCTAATTCCCTACCTACCTATAATATACTACCTCATGTCACAAAGTCTACCATCTATATTAAGAATTCACATCTATCAGTCTAAAATCTTGTCATCCTTTCCACTAGAACAATGTTTCCACTAAACCATGTTTAGTCAATTTCCTGTTTCCTTCACTTTAACGAGCTGCCTTCAGTCGAAAACCTTTTTTCCTTTCTCTACCTAATTTCATTTTCCCCCAAGTCTCGGAACCTTGAAAGACAGATGTTATTCTCACACACTAGTTCCTCCACTATTTATACTACTTCTCTTTTTTCTAACTTCTTTCAACAAGCTTCTCAACCTCATTCTTTTTCATTGGTTCTGAAACAGCTTTTTTATATATATTATCAAAAATAATTCAATGAACGCTTTTTGAGAAACTATGCAAACTATTCTAGCGTGATGATAGGCACATCAATGGTCTTTTGTCCTGTTAAGCCTCCTGTTTGGTGAGAAAGAAAGGCACAAGCAAATAATTTCAAAATAACACAGTATTCATGAAGACCCAAGTACGCTCTGGGTGCTACAGAAGCACTTGCTCCAACCTAGAAGCCAGGAGAAATATTCTAAAGCCAGAAGCTCCTGACCTAAGTCTTATAACACCAGAGGTAATTAAGCTGGGGGTAAAGGCTAGAGGGGATTCCAGACAGAAGGCACAGTGAGTGTAAAGACCAAAGAAATTAAATAGCACTGGGTGGATAAGAACTCCAAGCCATCCTGAATTATCACGGTTTTATAAAGTAAAAAGAGAAAAACAGGAGAAAATGAAGTTAGAGATGTAGATAGGGTCCAAAACACAGTTTGCCTTGAACGTAGACATAAACAATTAGGTCTGTCTCACATATACAAAACTTCTTCCATCACCTATTACCTATATGAGGTAGGACTATTTCAGCTTTTGGCACATAAGATCGTTTGTGAACAAAAATATTAAGATTATCCTGAAAATTTGAAATTAAAATATTTTATCAACAAATATTAAAATAATCTTTACTGACAACAGTTATAAACAACCATGTGAATATGTTCTTGCTAGTTGTTTTTTAACTCTGAGGAAGTCTATAAACAAAATCAGAGGGGTGCCTGGCTGACTCAGTCAGCAGAGCAGGCAACTCCTGATCTGGCGGTTGTGAGTTCAAACCCCATCCTGGGTATAGAGATTACTTAAAAATAAAATCTTTAAAAAAAAAAGTTTCAGAAATTCTCTTCAAATACAAGTTAGTAATCAAATTTCTCAAATACAAAATGCATAAAAATAAATACCTTTTATAAAATAAATACATTTTATATAGTGCAGTCATTATATCATAATAAGATAGAGGTAACTAAACATATTTTGAAAAATTCAGTGCTACACATAAGCAGAACTATTCACATTATAAAGAAAAAGTAGAATCCCACATAAAACTTTCCATATATGTGTGTGTGTGTGTGTGTATGTCTGTGTATGTTTGTGTGTTTATTTTGTTACATGGTAACAAACTTTTTTCTAAAATCTTCATTTTGGAGAGGGGCGAGGGTTGAGGGAAGGGAAATTCTATTAAGTGGTAAACCTACCAGTAGTTAGAAACAATAGCTTACCTTCAAAAATAATACTAAGGCCTCTACCAACACTTAAAATCCATAAAACAAATGTTTGTGCCCATATAAAATCCTGGAAATGTTTGTTTCTTTCATGAGTAACACCTATTGCTGTTCTATATCTCAAAACAATGAATACTAAATGGAATACTCTATGAAAGGCTACATAACTCAAATACAATCTTTTACGCTTGAACTGGAGAAAATAATAATGCACTAAATAAAAACATATACTCTTTTCAACTACACCTTGAACCAAGGTTAAAGTAAAGTGGTTCTTTGTCCTTCACCTCTGCTTAAACAAAACATATTCCCAAGGGAAGTTTTTCATTACATTCTTACTAAAATATTAAGAAAGAGAAGTAAACTTACTTGTGTCTGCTTGGCTTCCCACACTGATATATCTATCATTGCCAGGAAGTGATGTTTGGTAGTAAGTTGTCTCCTCCTGCTGAGGGGTCTTGGCATTCTTTGCAGTAAGGAAAGCCACCGCTAATTCCAAGTTTCCATTACTATCCTTCAAATATCAAGAATGGAACATCAAACATTTTGGAATAACTCCATACATTCTCACATGATTTATTTAAGTTTCTCCACAGCAACTAATACTTAATAGCAAAAATCACTTTTAGATTTGAAATCATTCTATGTGATCCTAATTTTACAAACTCATCATAAACAAAGTATATTCTATTAATAGTAATTCCTTTTTCTATTAAGACTACTGACATAAGAATCAATTCTATAATTTCTTAGCTTCCCATTACCTTCACTTCTCCTTAACAAAAGTCAATCACAAAACTTATGCTTCTAAACAAATAAACTAAAAAATGTTTTTTGGAACTTGCCATACAAAAGGATGAGAATGAATATTTAAAACAGTACTTCTGCAAAGAAGAAATATAAACTTTAATATGGATTCTGAATGCATACCTAGAGGCAAACTTAAGCAAATGTCAGACTTGTAGGCAGAAAACAGCAAAACATTCTGAAGCTTGATAGTACAGAGAGACACACAGAACCAGACAGAAATACTCAATCCTATCAAGATGACAATCCTACCCAAATTAAGTATATAAATTTAACATAGTTCTCATCAAAAGCATATCTGGACAAAATTATTCTGAAGTTAATTTAGAAGAAAGCAGATGATAGAAAACCAAGAATTTTTATAACAGCAAAATAATGAGAAGAGACATGACCAGTTCTATCTCTCTAGTCTCTGTAGAGTTAGTAATAAATATAACAGTTCCAGGACAGCTAATTGAAACAACATTAGGAAGCCCAGATATTAATAATGAAGTGATCTTTGTAACAGAAGGCCAGAACACCTAAGACTATGCAGGCCTCATGAACTTTAGCATACACAGAGACTGTAAAAGGAAGCCAGTGGAGGATTTTGGACAGAAATGACATGGTATGACTTATATTTTAAAAAGATCACTCTGGCTGTGTGTTGAGAATAGACTATAGGAGAGAAAGGGCTAAGGCAGAGAGTCCAACATCACATTAAATGTGAGAGGTGACAGAAGGAGAAAGATCAGGATGATTCCAAGATTTGAAACCTGAGCAACTGGAAGAATGAGGTCCCCAACCCACCCCAACTCCAATTATAGTTAGCCAGGGAAGAGAGAAAAAAGTAAGAGTGCAGTTGGAAAAGCACCACTGCTTTAAACTTTATATCACAACCATTAGAAGACTCTTAAATGACTCACCAGAAATATGGGTATAATATAATCTATAGCTGGATAAGTAAAACAGCTGTAAAGTAATGCGCAGTAACAACGGCTACATTTATCGAACACTCACTATGGGCCAAGAAATGTGCCAAATGCTTTTTATATACTACCTCATATAATAATAATAAACTGAATGCAACAGGGATTTACACAACTTGGAGACAGATCACTTACTTTGGAGGGCTAAAAATAGATTCTTAAAATAAAACTACTGAAATCTATCAATGACATGGTGTTTCTCAAAAGTATGTTCCTTGTCAGTACATTACTGAGAAAGTGAATTCATTATTAAACACCTTACAAATTTATACTGGGTAATGATTAAGGTTTAAGTACACTGACCCCCCCCCCCCCCCACCAACTACTGGTAAATGAAACCAAAGTTAAAAAAAAAAAACAAAAAAACTATAGCATACAACTTAACTCAAAGAAAATGTGGACAACAGTTCATTTGATTAACTCTTTATGTTCATTTAATTAAACATATTTTACATGTTTCCCAAGTTAAAAAAAAAGAAAAGTGAATTCCCCAAACTTGCCCTGACAAGGTAATGGGTATAGCCTCACACTCAGAGATATAGAATGGTAAAGGCACTTTCTGAAAACAGACATGGAGTGACTGAGTCATACTTATCAGAATAAGAAAAGGACTGGCAATCATCTAAATGTCATAATCATAAAAATTGAGGTCTGACATTTTTGCTTCCTCTCCAAATCCTTAGAGTTGCTTCATAAACCCTGCATTAATGCTCTAAACAGCACTGTTTCATCACTTTCCTGATAGGAAAAAAAAATGAAGCAAAGATTGCAGTAAAGGTGGAAATTAAGTGTGCCACCCCAGGACCAGGCTGCTCGGTTTCTCTTCCAGCTCACCCACATACCACACCTTCCTCAGTAGAGTTACCAGGAGGGTGTTAGCCACATAAAATACTTAGAATAGCACCTAGTACTACAGGAGCTTAATAACCGCCAGTGATTATTATCATGATTACAGTCATCTAAAAGATAAGATTATTTCTAGAAACAAATGAAGAACTTTTGGCTCGGAATCAAAAATTACATAATTAAACTCGTCTCATGGAGTAAGTTCCAAAGGACTGAAGTTGTATGTATGCCTTACAACAGCAAAAATACTGTATTGCTGTTAGCCTTTAGTAGCAGTATAGAAATAACTTTAAAATGCAGTTCTAGTTCTTTTTTTTTTAAGATTTATTTATATCCTATTTATAAGAGAGAGAGCAAGGCGGAGTTGGGGGAGAGGGAGAGATAGAATCTCAAACAGGCTCCCCAACTTGTCTCCAAGTTGTGTAAATCCCTGTTTATTATTATTATATGAGGAGAGAATCTCAAACAGCAATGAGCCCAAGGCAGGGCTGGATCTCAGGACCCTGAGATCATGACCTGAGCTGAAATCAAGAGTTGGAGGTGTAACTGACTGAGCCACCCAGGTGCCCCTGCAGTTCTAGTTCTTAAACATCTTTTATTCTCTTGCTCTTTTTCAGTGGGCATATCCATGTGATTTGATTCATCTGAGTTTCTCCATGTGAAAATGAGGGAACAACAGAAGATGCAACCAAAATGATGCATTTTATTTACTGCATATACTAACCAGCTTGCTACTGAATGTTCGTAAGGTGCAATTAGTTAAATGTTAGCCAAGTTTTATTTCTCCTTGAAAGGAAAAAATGTAAGCTTCTTATCCTCTAATAATTTTCTCTCTCCTCTTTTCCCTCCCTGTATTTCTCTACCCCACCCTACTCTCTACGCCCATTTAAACTCTAACATCATAGCTCTTGAGTACAATCAGCCATCGCATTTGGATTCATATCCTTCCATTTTGCATGAAAGTGTTCCATATGGAGAAAATTATCTGTCACTCCAAGGTATCCTGGAACATTAGGCTACTGAAAACTAACATGCTCAAAATTACACCCTAAGTAAGGCTCTTACATTATAAAAGTTCTTTCCTATATCTCTATTACTACACCACAAAATGTAACTAAAAACCTTTCAAACATGGTAGGCAGTAGAGATGAGGGCGCAGCTTAAACTGTATGCCATGAAACAGAGGCCATACCTTCAAGGCTTGCTGTAGTATCTGGGCATCATTAATCCCAGTGATTTCTCTCAGCTGATTCAAAAACGTCTGCTGGTGCTAGAGGAGAAAAACCGAAATCATTACACTTTAAAATCTGAAAATATATAAGAATAAGAATAAGAAAATAAATGACCTTTGGGTTTTAAAAAAAAAAAAGAAAACACAAACTAGTACAGAGAAGAAAAAATATAGGACTTGACAAAGACTTAACAAATTTCACTATTTTAGGAAGAAACCATGCTGTGGGGAGCCCTTACTCCATTCTCTTGTTTCCAAAAGGGAACTTCTACATCACTTCCCAAGGAGTCTTACTGAATTAACCAGTTTCTGGCCTATTCACTGCCTAATTTATTCCTCCCCACAAGAAAAGCAGTGATATGCACAATGGTTAAGCCTAAGAAGAATTAGGGAAAACAGTTTTATCCACTGGGCTACTTTCACTAGAGGCTGAGGCCACTGAATGAAATCCTCGCAGCTCTAGCATCTCCCCCCTGCCCCGAGGGTCAGCCAGCATCCATTCAGCTAGGATGTCCGAAAAAGAGAGGCCAAAGGACAGGCCATGCACTAGATACGTATATTACATCATGGGGATCCTAAGATCTATTTGAGGAAAAAGAAGATCATCTCATTCTCTAATCTGTCATAAAAGATCCCAAACAGAATTAATCACTTGCCCTCATTTGCTTCAGATCTGTTGGTCTTTATGATCTATTATACTCTGTTGGAGAGAAAAAGGGATGGGATTCCACTATCAAACGATGCCCTGAACATCCCTAATTAAGAAACATGTTCCTCCTGGGATCGAGCCCCACATCGGGCTCCCTGCTGGGCGGGAAGCCTGCTTCTCCATCTCCCTTTCCCCCTGCTTGTGTTCCCTCTCTCGCTGTGTCTCTCTCTGTCAAATAAATAAATAAAATCTTAAAAAAAAAAAAAAAAATGTTCCTTCCTACATCTCTGTATTTCTTTAAACAAGTTCCCCAAAACTGTAAGACAGCACCATGAAATAAAGAAAGATCAATGGAAATGAAATGGAAGTCATCACTAGAATAAAAGGATCTGCTGAAATTTTTCTCGAAAATGTTTTACATTCATCTCAGTAATAAATCAGTCAAGAATCATCAACAGATGATAAAACTATGGGGTAAAAGTTTGATGAAAAACAGGATAGTTACATAGTTTCAAACTCTATTCCTGCAAATTATAAAGGGAGAAAGAATATAACTTTATAATGAAGAAACATGACAAGTACCACCTCAATCAAGTAATCAAATTTAATATTACCAATAATGGGATCAAATGACAGTATATGCCACCTGATATTGTAGGATATAACAAGACGACAGTATCACCTATGGTATTCCTGCCCAAAATGCATAACCTGAATCTAAACTTGCAGAAGCATCAGACAAATCCAAACTGAGGGACATTTTACAAAGTAATTATTGTCATCTTTAAAACGTTTATATCATAAAAGACAAAGAGTGAGTTTCCAGATTAAAGGGGACAAAAAAGGCCTGATAATCAAATGTAATGTGGCATCCAACACTAAATGCTATACAGGACATTACTGGGACAACTGGAGAAATATGAATATGAACTGTTTAGTAATAATATTTTGTTAATATTGAATTCCTGAATTTGATAATGGCACTATAGTTATGTAAGAAAATATCTTTTTTCTTAGGAAATACACCCTGAAGTATTTAAGTTTTAAAGGGGCATGATGTCTGCAATTTACTCTGAAATAGTTAAAAAAAAAAAAGTTGTAGTTCTTTGTACTATCTTGCAACTTTAAATTTAAAATTATTTCAAACTTCAAAATAAGGTTTTAAAATATTCTGTATACAGATTTGTTAATGTTATAATTGTAAAATGTGCATTTCAAATTGTACTTGACAATTTAAATATGCATAATATATATATACCTTCAGAGCTGAAGGGTTCTAAACAAATTACAAAATGAAATGAAAAAATAAAAAGCATTTGAAAATCAGGTTTGAGATAATGTACGTCTAAATATCTTCTATAGAAACCACATGTATAAGTTAGAAATTATATTCAACTACATGTAACAGAGTCCCATCTAAATAGTAGCTTCAACATACTGCAGTGTCTGTTTTTTCTAATATAATTAGAGTGGAGGTAGGCAATCCAGATCTGATAAGGCCTCCCACATGTTAAAAAAAATCTAAAGCTCCTTCTGTCTTCCCACTGAACACTCTTATATGTGACATTCATCAAACGTCTGTCACTCCATGTCTCGTCCTCAAGTATCCCGTCCAAGTTCTAGGTAGAATAAAAGGAAGGGCACAAGACAAAGGGCATAAGCCAAAACATTCTGACTTCTTTAAGAAGACCCATCTAGTGACTTCCACTTAAAGCTTCATTGAGCAGAACAAAATTGCATGGCCACTCATAGTTGCAAAGAAGGCTGGAAAACATGTTTTTCAGTTAGGCAAAGCACTTTGAAAATGAAATCAAGGTTCTGTTTGTGAGGAAAAGCAAAGAATGTGTATTAGATAACCATGGGCAGTATACACCATACCATCAATGATTTTTCATTTCCAATAACCTTATTAAAGAGCTGAAATAACCAAGACTATCTAACAAAATAAAAATAATAGTGTATATAAACAAGGTCATTAAAATGCCAGGAAGAATAAAATAGCGGAGTAAAAAAAATCAAACTGTCAAACTTACAGAGGTGAAAAAAGAATTCTTTAAACCTGTCAACTTTCCTTTGTTCATTTAAAATAGTACTGATAACTAGCAATGGAACCATGACTAAGTTACTCAATACCAAACATAATATTAAAGATGTAGAAAAATTTTACAGAAATTCTTCTTATCTAAGGTCTCATTTTACTTAACATAAAAAACTTAGATTTTATACACCTCTCTGTAATCTCACCACCACCAGCACTCCAAACTCCATTCTTTACACAGAGCATTATTTCCCTCAACTGCAAATTACCTGGTCATGGATCAGGGAAAGACTACTGAATACCTCCCCCAAATCAGCCATTTATACAAATGTTACCAGCTATTATTTATAAAGTTGGAAAAATGGAAACAATACAAATGTCCTCCCACTAAGGAAGTGGTTCTAAACTTTAATGTGCAGAAGAATGACCTGATGAGTTTGATAATAATCAAGATTCTCAGGCCCCAGCCCCAGAAACTGTGATTCCAGCAGGGTCAGGGTTGAAGGCTAAGGGATCTGCATTTTTAATAAGTATCTTAGATGATTTTTATACAGATGGACTTAGAGGCACAGTCTGAGTCAAGCAAACAACTGCATATTTTTAAATAGCAAATATATAACCTATATAGAAATTATCTTCACAAAATCATATTAAGCTAAAGTGATGGAACACAAAATAGTATACACATTAATGACTACAAGGTAAAATGTAAACACGAATATAAAGCTCAGAAAAGATTACAAGAGCCTGTGTTAGACTCGCAATTCTCTCATCTCTGTATCCATACCTTTTGCCACTTTTAACTCCCTCCCACTAGAGAGTTTCCTTTCTGCATTGATGATGAACTTGGCCATGTGACATGCTTTCACAAATGACATATTAAAGACAGTCATGCAGATATGAAATGTATTTGCATGACTGGGCTTCCCTCCTGAACTTCTGTAACTTCCTTAAGGAGAACATGGCCCTGGGTAGTCCACTTGCTCCAGAAGAAGGAGGCACCCATGGAGCAGAGCCACCCCAACCAACCTGAAAAATCTGTGAACATGATGACAGTATTTTGGTACACCACTAATTTTTGGAGTAGCCTGTTACTGTCAGAGTTGACTGATAGGGAGTGCATTTTTTAAATTTAAAATTATTTAGATTTTACTAAAATACTTAGTATTTTATTAAAGAGAAACAACGTCTTTGAAATTTTATAGTTTGTAGCTATAACTTGACATTTTATCTTTCACAATAAAGTCAACTAAATATCTTAGAAAAAAAAATAATCCAGGCGTATCTCTAGCATAGTTCATGATCTCATGAATTTTGACAGAAAATGAAATAAGGAGGAGAAAATGACTGGGGTGGAGAAGAAGGCTGAGTGGGAAGGAGAAAAGGTGAAAAAAATTTCTTGGTTTAGTTACCAAGAAATGAGAGACAGATCAGAAGAGGTGAGCTATGAGAAAAATTCTAAGTTTATGGCACAGAAGCCACCTCATTTGTAGTTTTCTCCTTTGTTACTGGCATCTTCCAGCTGTGCTTTTCCTGTCTTTGAAAACCTGCACCTTCATTTCCTACAATTATATGTTTTTGTTGTTGCTATTTCTGTTGTAATTAAGACCCTTGTCTTTCTTTCAAGGTTTGCACCTTTCTATTTATCACACTTCTGATCTGCATATACCCTGCTCAACTAAAAATGTCCTGCATATGGGTTCTCTCCTCCTGGACTAGCAACTTTGGATCCAAGATGGATCCAACCCACTTCCCTCTCTAGAGCTCCTTTTCTGAGCTCTGAGGTCTTTTTTGTATGAATTTATATACTAAAGTATAAGGAGGAGGATGCAATCTGTTCACACTGCTGGACCAAGAAAGACAAGACACAATGTTCAAAGAAATTCAGCAGCTGCAAACACCACAGAAATCAATAAGCTAACAAGCGAAGACTTCATGCAGGCCTTCAGATTCCTTCCTCAATGTTATTTTTATCACATGATTACAGCTTTAAGTGCCCACTATGTGCAAAATACAGTACTATACACACTTTGGGAAAAGGAAGCATCAGTAATTCCAATATAAATTAAGAATCAGAGAGCTCTACAGAAATTCTTTCCCTCCCCAGTTGACCCTACCTAATGTTGGGTTTGTTTTAAATGTTTCAGTAAATATACAGCATATTTAACACTGGTATAACTTCTTGAAAATGCAAAAAGAGGAATCACTGGCTTAGACCAAAGAAAGAAGGTAAGCATTTATTATGTTCTTGCTGTATGCCAAGTGTTTTAAGTGCTTCCAGTTTATAATCTCACTCAATATTAGTATACATGCACACATGCGTGCACACACACACACACCCTCCAAAAAGTT